GTTGCTGGTAATTGGTCTGTTTAGATTTTCTGTTTCTTCCTTGGTCAGTCTTGGAAGGTTGTATTTTTCTAGGAAGTTGTCCATTTCTTCTAGGTTTTCCAGCTTGTTAGCATATAGATTTTCTTTAGTCCCAGGGGATCTGGTTGCAGGGACCCACTCGCAGATTTTGCTTTTCCATTTCTTTAATATCCAGCACACCATGCTGTGTGTGTCTGCGCTCCCGGTGCAGGTTACTAGAGCTGGTTGTTTAGCAGTCCTGGGCTCCCACTCCCTTCCTGCTCCAACTCCTTTCCTCCTGCCAGGGAGCTGGGGTGGGGGGCATGCTCGGGTCCTGCCAGGCCACAGCTTATATCTTACCCCTCAGCAACGTGAGATGCTGAGTTTTCACAGATGTAGATGTAGCCTGGCTGTTGTACTGTATCCACTGGTCTCTCTTTTAGGAATAGTTGTATTTGTTGTATTTTCAAAAATATATATGGTTTTGGGAGGAGATTTCCGCTGCCCTACTCACGCCGCCATCTTGGCTCCTCCTCTCTGCTGTTGACTTTTAACAGCACTCTATATATTAAGAATGTTAGTGGTTTCTGACATTTAGAAATTATTTCCCAATTTATCAGTATTTTAAGCTTTGTTTATAGTGTTTTTACATGCAGAAATTTTATTTGTATGTATCCAAACTTATCCAGTCTTTTGTGGTTTTGGATTTGATGTTTTTTGGAACCACATAACCCTCTTCAAAACTGTTTTTCAAATTTTTTTCTCCATTATTTTTATAGTGCCATTTTTCACATTTGAATTTTCAAGTAATCTGAAATTTGCTTAAGTACAAGTAATGATATAGGATTCCAGTGTTCTTTTTTTTTCAATGCTATATGTTCAGTAAAGCATTGTTTCCCCCACTAATTCAAACCATCACTTCTCTATGGATTTACCTCTGGACTCTCTGCCTTGCTCAATTGATTTATCTATTTATATGCCCATTCTAAAATGCTTAATTTATTGTAATTTTTTAAACAACTAGATTTACTGCAGCCTTCCTCTCCCTTTCTGGGCCTTCTTATTCATTGTTTCTCTGGCTATTCTTCAAAGTTTGTTTTTTCATTTTAACTTTAGAATCAGTTTATCTCGTTAAAATCGGCAAATTAATATAATTTTTCCTTTTATCTGATACTTGCATTTATCTTTCTTGTCTCATCATTTACTAGTAATTCCAGAACAATGTTAATAACAAAGGCACATGCCAGAAATCTTAGTAGTAAACTTTTTCCCTACACTTCACTGTCAACCAAAAGACTGAAGATCATTTTACCCTTGTTTAATCTTCTTCCTCTCTTATCCCCTTCAACAATTATAGATGAGCCTCAGCAGTCTTCCCAAGCTCTTTGCATAGTTCCTTTCCAACTCTCTGTTTTATACTACTACTTAAACAAGAATTTCCCTGCCCTTCTCAAGTACAGGATCACTCAGCTTCATCATCTTATCTTCAAGGTCAGAAGCCACATCCCTTATCCATGTTCTTAATGCCATAACCTGAACTTTCATCTGAGTCTTTGTTCCCTTCAGCCTACTAGCATACTCAGTATTTTGCTTTAGGTTCAATAGGTGAACAGTTTTAGAAATTTTTTTCTTTCCAATTATTATAAGAGAATAAAGAGGAAGAGAAGAAAAATATGTATTACACATCCAAGAAATTGAGCTGAATCTTGGAGACACTATTTCTTTTCATTTATCCTGCTTGAGACTTATGATTCTGAAACTGAAGGTGTATGTTTTTTATAATACTGAAAAGTTCTTTTTTTTTTCATATATTGCCTCTCTCTCCATTTTCTCACATTTTTCCTGTTAGAATTCCTATATAAGTTGATGCTTTTCCCTTTCCTCTGTAACCCTTAACCTCTTTCATACTTCCTTTTTCTCTGATGAATTCTGAGTAATTTCCTCCAACCTAGGTTCTAAGTTCACCAATTTTCTCAACTCTGTCAACCTTGCCATTTAACTTCTGACCATTAAGTTTTGAATATCAAGGGCTATATTTTTCATATATGGAAGTTTTTTTTAATCCAGATCACTCTTACATCTTTAATAATGTCTTCTTTTCCCAGATGTTTTCATTCCTTATTTGTAATTATTTTAAATATTTTTACTTTCTGGTCTCCATCTGATATACTATTTGAAGTCCTTAAGTGCCTAATCCTGCTGTTTTTGGTTTACTGGCCCTTGCTTATGATTGGGGCTGAGAAACGGGTTGTTATATTAAACTGTGAGTTCATCCTTGGTAGGGTATTTTCCATAAGAATCCATAAGGTATGGGTGGAGATGTTCCTTTTGGAAACATTTTGCTTTGTTTCTACCAAGTAATCCAGATGTGTTACCAAACCACTTTATGTTAATTTTTATATTAATTTCTTGGCTTACCCATTCTCAGACAAAAACAAACAAACAAACAAAAAAACAGGTAGTGTAAACCTGAACCTCAAACCTGTGAAAAAGCAGAATTCTGAATTCTCAGGAAATACTGACATAGATTGGACCCTGGTTTTGTGTGTATTTGGAGGTGAGGGAATTCTCCATTCTGCACCCTACCTCCACCGGATCCAAGGTTTTCTCTCCTAATGGCATGCAGCTGTTAACTCAGCACCATGATTACTGGAACAGGCACCAAACCAAAGGCAAATCACACTCAGTATCCGGTTGTTTTGCGTTCCCTCTATTGCTGCTATTGTTGCTGTTTTGTCTATTTCATAGTAGGAAGAGGGTGGTCTGAGGGCATTTCCCTTACTTTGAGACATCAAGAGTGCATTAAAAAAATATGCTCATTATATTTTATCCAGCATTATCTAAGTGTTTTATACTGGAAGAGTTTTCCAGTTGTATAGTCACCGACATTGTCAAAAATAGAAGACCTGGAAATACCATAGAGATTTTCAGTTTATAAAAATGCCAGTCAAAACATTCCTTACTGAACATTTCTTAAACACTGTTGGCTATCTTGACATCAATTTCTCAGATTTCCTAATTCCTCATAATAAACCAAGATGACTTATGTGAGCCTTTCTAAACATTTCTGAAGGTGTTTTTATTTTCAAGTTCTACTACTCTGTCTTTAAACATGAACAGTGACTTCTATTTTGAAAACTCACTTGACCCTGCTACATCTTAGGTCCTTTATGCAGTCTACCAACAACCAGCAGTGAACATCTTCCGTGTACCAGGCCCTTTTCTGGGTAGTGGCAACACAATTCTGAAGAAAAATGCCTAAGTCCCTGTAATCATGAGCTTATATCTTGGTGACTGAAGATAAACATATCAAGTGGTAATGAGCAACAGGTACCAAAGCAAAACAGGATAACAAGGCAGGAAGTGACAAAGTCCTTTTGGACAAGGTGACATTTGAACAGTCTTAAAGGATGAAAGAACCATGCATATGGATGGAAGACTCGCATTTTGGACAGAGGAACAGCAAATTTTCCTGACATAGGATCACATTTGAACACTTCTAGGCAGCCAGTGTGCCAGTATGAAGAGTGGATGAGGGGTACCAGTGATAGGAAATAAGGTCAGAGAGTCCATCTTCCCACATATTCCCTCCTTATCCACACAATGACTGTACCCCTCCCAGTGTCTCTTGCATCCATCTCTCAGCCCCAGTCTTAATCCAGGCTCTTACCCCTTGTTTTATTCACCGGAAAACAGCTAGTATGACACTTTTGCACTGTAGGTGCTCTATGAACATTTGGTAACTATTTGACTTTACCTTCTCCGGAATATGTTGTCTTGGCTGGCCCCTCATCAAGTACCTAATGGGATATGTGTCCCTGACTTTGTTTTCCTTTACTGTTATGACCTCTGGATAGAAACTTTATTGTGCTGGGAAATGAAGTTCTGTTCACACACAAACTTGACAGACAAAACCACTTTTTAATTATACGCTTAATCGGCACAAAGTTCACTGAAGATACATTTTCACTTTTACACAGACTTGTAACAGAAAAATACATCAACACACAAAAATATGGTCCTTCAGTATCAAATTTAAACAAATAATTTCCAAAGAGAATATGATTATTTATTTCAATAAAAATGGTTTTTGTACATCACTATATGATGTATACATTTAGTTGTATATTCTGTTTAAGGCCAACAGCTAATTTATAATTTAGTTCTTGAAAAACTGAAACACAAATATTGTCTTCTTTTTAACTATATAAATACACCATATAAAATACTCCCTAATAAGCAGCTGTAAAATTATGATTTGCTCCACTGAAGTCTTAGGGCAACTTTTCAAGGCACTGCTTGTGATTATGACCCTGCCCTTGAAATGTCTGAATCTTTCCTTCACTAACTACACAATTCAAATACATAGGACTCAATGACTTAGTACTTAAAAGTTAAGTCCTCATTTCAAGGACAAAAATATATAAGATCTTTATTAGTAACCACAGCTAAGTTTTTTAAGGGAGTGGAGGGAAAGCAGTAGAAAAAATAGGTTATGTGTTTAATAAAAAGCCATTTGAAAACTACCATGTAAAAGTAATTACTTTCCATCATAGTTGTATTTTTCTAATTACAGTACCACCAGACATTTGCCACTACAAAATACATTTATTTTTATTCCTTACTTAAATTACAATGAGTGGACTTTCTTCCTAAATAACCATTAAGCTCTTTGAAAAATTTAATCTACTTTATTTAAACCACTTAATAAATAATAATTTTCCTCTTTGACCTCTACAAACAACTGCCATGAAACATATTTTAAAAACCACCTTAAATTTGGTGTGAAGACATTTTGGCAAAGCAGAAGAATATTGCCTTGGCTTGACCCAGCGAGTACAAGATCTCAATGAAAAATACAACTTATAGAATACTTAATTTTTCTTATACTGAGTTAGAATACAAATGAAGCTGTTTAAATACAAACATCTATCTTCCACAAAATAGCAAACAGACATCGTATGTAATTAAAATCAAATTCTTTCAATTTCACCAATGTAAAAATAAAACATGTTGCAAATATCAGTAATACAGAGCCTGATAGTGAAGACAGAATATTAGTTCACAAGCTAACAAACTGCAGTCTGAGGATGTAGAATAACACTATAAATATGAAGAAAAAGAGCTAAATGTTTACTTACATCACAAATAACTTCAGCATAAAGCTATGCTCACATGTGGTCAGTATGTAGGCCATGTATAAATGCACAGATCACAGTGAACTAAAGCCATAAAAATCGAGTTCCCTGACCCTTCAACCAACCCTTCAGAGCAATGGGAATATAGAGGAAGCCAGAAGCCCTACTTCAATTGTTCATACTTCATTAAACTATCCCTGTCCTCACCCCACAATCCCTCTCCCACCAACTAGAGTCACAGTGGGTGAATAATTAGTCAATCCAGTTTATCCAGAGTCTGTAGATAATGGCCATAATTTGTCCATATTCATTTTAAAGAGAATGCTTTCATGAATTAATCCTCAAGGACCTTGAACAGAAGTTTGTATATATTTTGTTTAATATCCAAGTGGTTTTGATGGCATTTATAAGGTTACCTATGGTACAAGTAGAGTTTTTAAATTTGAATTAAAGATTGATAGTTTCATAATTGCATCTAAGATCTTGATTGTGAGACTCTGGGGCTCTTTGTTAGGGCAAATGACAGTATCTTCGTTCATTCTATGTAACAAATTCACTCTCCTGTGGCTACAAAATCCTGAATCCCTGAATGACCTATTGCCATGCTAAGATTTTATAAGGCACTTTTGGCTTATGTGAAATATTTCTCCTCTCAGGCTGAATCTTAAGGAAATATTTACAAAGCTGCAGCAAATTACTTTTAAAACTGGATGCTTATTAATAGGTTTAATTGGGATGATGAGAAGTGTGTACACAGTGTCTGTTAATCTCTCTGTGTCATGTATTAGCCATAGAGAAGATCACAGGCATAGGCCACCTGAAATACTGTGTATCTCCTTTGATTTTTCAACAGCCACATGCCCCCTTCTTTTCTTCATTTAACTGATCTGTAGAGGCATGACCATTGGACCTCACTACTCCTTCCGGAATCCAGGACTTGTCCACACACCGTTCCATTCGCTTCATTATCAGGTCCAGGAGCATCTCTATTGCTTGGCTTATGTTTGTCCCATTGGCAGCACTAGTTTCAAAGTAGGGGATTCTGGAAGACAGAGACAACTCAGGTAACACCGTGTGGAGGAAAGGAAACCTTTGCCCTTGAAAATTCAACTTCGAAAATGAGTACTGTACAAATATACCAGACAAAAAAAACATTTTACCACTATAGCATATGCTAAAAAGTGAAAAAGATAAGAATGGGTACTGCATTCCTAATAGAGATGTAAAACTTCTGGAAGGTTTTGTTCCCATTTCACAGTTAAATTGAGGTTTGGGGAAATGAAGTAACTTGCCCAATTTCATAATGACAGAAAGTATCAGAGCTATGATTTGAATCCACAACTGTGTGATACCATTGTAACCAACTTAACCATAGGCTCTACTGGCTCCAAACTCACATACTTTGTATGAGGATTTCCAAAACAGATAAATCTCCATCATTTGCTGCACATGAACAAATGAAGCTGATTCAGAGATAAGTCTACGGTCACTGGCTCAGCCATGTCTGTCAGAGGCTTTGCGACTTGTCAACTCCAGCCTATATTCTTGGACCATAAACTTGAAGATGTTCTGAAATCTATAGCAACTCAGAGTTCCCCAAGGACATCAACCATAAGGACGTCTACTTTGTTATCCAAGGACTTGTGGTGTATGTGCAATTTTTCAATAACTCACCATGCATCATTTTAAACTCTAAGGCAGCTTTTCACATCTTCTTGAGAAAAGAGTCTTCTGGTGGCAGCTGCCCTTTCTGCATCTGAGTTAGTCTTTGTGACAGAACTAACAATTTTCAACTTCTTTCTGCTTCTTACTAAAGCCAAGAAGATAGAAAATTCGATTTCCTCAAACTGTAGATTTCATTTCCCCCATTTGTATGGTATCTGACTAAAATGCTCTACGATGTAAAAACTGCAAAAGGTCGTTTCAGCACCTCAGCAGGGCCTGCAGTGACATTCAGTGAAATATTCCTTATGTGCATAAGGACCTTAAAATCTTCCACTATAACTTCTCTTGAAGAACATCATTGTTTTCACATGTTCTCATAGCATGTGTTAACACGATATTAACACTGTATCAGTGACTCCGATTACAGTTTCGGTGACTCGTATCTCTTGGCTAGAAGCAGCTTCCACATGAGAGCTTTCACAGATTTTTGACAAACTTCTTAGTGCTTTCACAGATATTTTTGGAACTGCTCTGCTTCTTAAGTCACTAGAAGCACACTGGGGGATACTTGCATAGGATGGAAAGCTATTTTGCCATTATGATTTCTCATGATGCTCTTATTTTCTGCACACTTCCTATAGGAGCTGACAGGCCTCGCAACTTAAACTTTGCAATTCTCTATTTTAATATAACCCCTAAAAACTGGCAGAGGAACTATGACTTCATTTGAACTTTTATCCACCCATCTTTGAGTTTTGCAAGACGTAATGGCTATACTGGTTCTACAACACCTATGTTCATACCCTTTCATATGCTAACTCTAAAGTATTTAAATCAGAGAATGGCCGGCTGGGTATATTACATGGTCTTAATGTTTTTAAACCTCCTGCCTGGCTATCTCTTTGGTTACTGTCAGTCTTTTTCTCCATCTTCATCTGTTACCTTATTTATGAAATGAAGATAATCTTCTCCACTCCCCTAGTTACGTGGCAATACATGATTATCAAATAAGAAGAGGAAGTCCTTTGTGGGGATTCAGTAAATATTTATAGAGTGAATACCCATAATGTTATTGAACTAAGTCATGGGGATAGTTGGTAATGCTGCTATCGTTACAAGTAACTGAATTAAGGATTGAGAATTCTCAAAATTTAAATGCTTACATTTTCTTCATCATGCTTTTCTCAACTATATTTCCAAGAAAAATCATTTAATATCTATAGAAAATTTCTTATGCTTAAGAAGAAGGCTTGATCATTTCTTGACTATTCAGAAATAGATTTCATGGAAAAGCAAATGAAAATCTCCCTCAAGAACAATAGGTCAAAATAATAAACACACAAAAGAGAAATAAAAAAAGCAGTTGAACTGTATACCTTCTTTTAAATACTGTCATAAAAATGTACATCTAATTTTTTTAATTCCCTTGAAGTCTATTATAAATATCGTTCCAAGTCTGGAGTCCTCAGACCCACTGAATTTCTCAACCGAATCTCTATTAGACCATTTCTAATTTGCATAGTTTCTTTCCTCCTAGTTCTTGAAAATTACCTCAAATAAATGAGAGGCACAAGTGAGAAAACATAGTTGAAAGTACTTTTTTAAGCTGTAAAATCTATGCAGGGAAGTTACAGACAGTTTGGACAATGGTTAAGAGCTATAACCTCTGGATCCCAGCTGCCCAGATTCTAATTGTAGCATGATTTCTTACCAACTGGCAAACTGTTAATCTCTGTCCCTCAGCTGCTTCATCCATAAACCTAGGTAATATTATATTAGTATTTTCTTACAAGGACTAAGTGAGTTAACATTAAAGCACTTAGAACAGAATCTGACACATAGAAAATGTGTCACCAATAAATGTTTCTTATTTCCAACACAGACATTACAAATATTTGTAATGTTATTGTTTAAACTCAGAACCCATCATCCCATAGAAACAATGTCACTGAACCATAGCAAATCAGAGCTCCAAGAGACCTTAGCAACATTATATAAATACTAAATTCCCAGACTGTGGCTGGTCTACAGTGCTGCCCTAATTCTGATACCTGAATCCATGCTTTCCTATGACAGGTATGGCTCACTCAAACCTGTCCTAGCCAAAATGCTTCATGATCCCAAGCACATGCCTCCCTAGATTCTCATCAAACCCCTCACTGCCTGCAACTGATCCTCAGTAAATGCTGGGGTAAACAGATCTTACTTTACTGAATAATACTAAGGTATAAATGACTGATGCCTGTAGCGGAGCTATGAGCAATTGTCTAATGTGTACTAACTGAAGCATTTAATTGGTAGAATTTCAGGATATATAAGTTGACTTATCGACTTTTAAGTCACTCATATTAAAAGATGTTCAATATTTAAAAGATGTAGCTTAGATTTATACTCCAAATTCAAGTCACAAACTGCTATCCTTCCATTCATTTGTGAACCTCTAGGTCACGTGACCAGGAGTCAGGTTGACAACCTTAAAATCTTAATCACCATCTGGAGTCTTCTGAGCAAGAGTTTTTGTTTCTACAGGAATAAATGAATGCTAGAGTTCACTCCTCTCCACTCTCAACTCTGCGACCAGAGGAAAAGCAAACGAGATGAGATCCACAAAGAACAGCCAGAATTAAGACTTTCCTTCCATAATAAAACGATGCCCCAGAGACAGAAACATGCTTTGTGCTCACATTCGAAAAATGGATGGCTCAGCTTGTCCAAAGGGCATAGGACGTCTATTTTTATGCCCATATCTTCCTGATGTTTTGTTTTAGAAGCCATTTGGGCTACTTTATCTGAATACTTCTCCATATCTATNAGTTTCATTCTCTTACATGTAGCTGTCCAGTTTTGCCAACACCAGCTGTTGAAGAGGCTGTCATTTCCCCATTGTATGTCCATGGCTCCTTTATTGTATATTAACTGACCATATATGTTTGGGTTAATGACTGGAGACTCTATTCTGTTCCACTGGTCTGTGGCTCTGTTCTTGTGCCAGTACCAAATTGTCTTGATTACTGTAGCTTTGCTTAATCACAAATTTTAAAGAAAAATAAAATAAAACGAGCACAATGACAGCTTCAAATCAATGAGAGGGCATTATCATTTGCAGTTTTTCACCAAGATACCTATATCCAGCTCATGCCATCAGTCAGGATCAACATCCAGGTAGTTTCTTTTCTGTTTATTTCCAGTAAACTAGAGGAATTTATCAAGTGTACTTGATGATTCTGTCAAATGTTTCTAGATATTTGACTCACATGTGGATCCAGAAATTGTGCAGAAATTTTTCACTACAGTAAGAAATGCGGGTCACTAGTTTTCATAATCTGTTGGATGCTAAATGAACAAGCATTTATAGGACATGGTTGGTGTCTGGAGTGTTTGAGTCTGGGATATTGTGCCAAATGAAACCTAGATCCTCTACTGAGTCGTGTGGGGCTCTGGAAATCAATCTTGTATGTTTAGTTGCAGCTTATGTGTGTGGTTTTAAAACATGCCCAATGATACATTATTCACTTATTTCTCAAATAAGGGAAGGATGTCATCAAGTTTGCAAAGAATCAAACTATTAGAGATCAAGCTATTTGTATCACACTTCACCTAGTTCAGACTAGATTAAGACACAGAGCATTTTGCTGAGCTAAGCCACTTCAAATCCCAGAAATGGTTTGTACTCACATTATTAATGTTGCAAATAAATGTTTTAAACACATCCTTCATTCTAGAAACTCTGAGCACCTTCCTCATCAACAGCCAGCAGCCTTCAGTGGGTGCGGGGGGGTCTTTTTAAATGTGCTGCCCTAACAGAGTGTATCTTAAAAGCTCTCAACACAAGGAAAAAAAGTTTGTGACTGTATGTAATAATGGATGTTAACTAAACCTATTGTGGTAATCATTTCACATATATACATACATATATATATAATCATAGTGTTGTACACCTAAATTAATACAATTTTATATATGGATTAGATCTCAATTTTTTAAAAATTTGCTCCCCATTTCTTTGCACAGCACATGAAATACAGATATTCAATTATCATGCTTTCCTAATATTCACAATTGTCTCTATTTTCCTAAACTCTGAAAAGAACAAAGGCTTATAATGACCACTAACTATCGTCTGAATAAAGAAGAGTGTGCAAAGGCCTTTTGATGTGACCATTATCACCAACAGACTGAAGTCCTTGCCTGCCCGCTTGTGGCTGGCACTCCTTCAGCACCAACCCCAGCATCCCTGCCCACTCTGTATCACAGCTGATGTAATTAACTGTGCGAGAAAACATTTTCCTCTCTTTAGCATGGACTTTCCAATGATAAGTGATGGAGCACATTTCTCTCAGTCATGCATGGCACCACGCAGACAACTGCTTCATATTCTGTGATGATGATTTTGTTTCCAGTTACACTTGCCAAGAAAAATACCTGCTAGAATGCACACCTGATAGTAACTTGGCATCAACATCAGTGATTCTGAAAGTGCTCTTGTCAACCAACAGCAGGAGTGGTATCTGGGAATCAGAAATGTCAGTTTGGGGCTTCGCCCAAGACCTCGTAAATCAGAAACGGTGGGACCTGGCAGTCAGGTGGTTCTGATTCACACTAACTGGATGTTTGAGATGCACTAACATCATCTCAGAGGAATGTTGCCAATGCTTCAATCTGCTTTCTCGTCTCATATTTTTCACTGACACTGTAGCTATTTTTAAGTGTTTCAGCAACAGTGTGTAATAATAATAGTGATATTACTGTTGTAGTAATTTTGACTGCCAGGAGTACAAGTCTGAATAAAACTCTGTTTTGCTGTCTTCTCTGACTTCGTTGATAGTATTATTCAATATAACACACTGGGAAGCATTATTTCGTTCTTGTTCTAGAAACACTTGGTTGGTTTACCATATAAATCACTTTGTTGTGTTAGGAAGTGACCTAAGAGACTCATATTACAACTTAACCAAGTTTTATAACCAAAAAAAGTAATTTTTATAGGGATTGGGGTTAAATGGACTCTCAGTCTACTAAAATGAGTATTCTGCTATTCAACATCATACATCTACTTTATCCTTTTCATTTTGGGCTGCTGCATGAAGTCCTCACTTTCAGATTTATTTGTCCCCCCAGACACAGATCTGTTTCATATTTGCACTGTAACAATGTTCTTTATTAGGTTTGCAAAGTTTCCTGAAACATAGTCTTTCATTCTCCAAATGCATGTATATTTCAGAGATCGATTGTGAACCAATGATTCATTTTTAGGAATGGAGGAGAGAAGGTAGTACAATGATTACAAGAAAAATGCAAATTTATCAGACAACATCCAAATGATACACAGATACACCATAATTTTTTGAGGATTAGCACATAGATGAACTGACCTCAGGTGCATAGGCAACCAATGAAAATGTTATGATTGTTAAAAAGGAAAAAAGATTCCTGTGAAAATAATCTCCTCTGAAACTGCCAAACAGCCTACAGAACTATATTTCATATTTTCTAAATACTAAGGGAATTGTTTCCATTCATTTCTGTTCTTCTCCACGAGTTTCACTTATCTGCTAATGTCTCCTCTCCTCATATTAACTCAATTCAGAACTTCAGATTGAGCCCCTCTTATGAAATACTTCCCAAAACTTGGGAGCTGAGCACAGATGAAAGATAATCCCTGCATCCACAGATTCCCCCTATAGACAGAAGGCTCTTTGATGTCAGGCAGAATGTGGAATTCTGAGAACTGGAACAGACAGAACTCGGAAAGTGTCAAACAAGCCAAGAGGGGAGAAAAAGCCAATCCTGACTCCCTCCCACTACTTGGGAATATCCTTGCTTGATCTAGCTAACTCCCCTTAACCTAGCTGCCCTATTTTGGGGCCTTTCCTGATACATTTCTCAAAAACATGTTCTAGGTCCATGTGTTGCTTCATCACTTACTCCTCGCCTCCTTGCAACATAGCTCCTGCTTCAACACTTCATTATTCTACATATTTGATCCCTCCCTCTTTTCTTCCCACTATATTACATGAGTGCCTCACAAGGGAAGAGGAAGGCATACCAGAATTAGCTATGAGGCTTTGTCAGCCTCCACCTCAGAATAACCCCAGCCAGTGGTTCCCAACTTCACACAAAAATCACATGGAGAGTTTTAAAAGAAACCAATGCTCAGGCCCCCGCCCATGATGACTTTGTAATATGTCAACTTGATTAGGTTGAACAACATTTCCCAGAATTCCCTCTCCAGTTAGGGTGGACCACAAAAGAGACTTAGGGGCAATATGGAGGGCGGAAGTGAAGCAGTGACTATTACCTGGCTCTCCTACGTTGTCGCTTATCAGCTGGTTTATCTGGTTGGCTGAGACCAGCAACCAGGTCTGTACCTGCTCCACCTGCCCCTAGACCCTCCCTTCAGCTTCTCCCCCTGGGCCAGGTGTGTGTGTGTGTGTGTGTGTGTGTGTCTGTGTGTGTGTGTGTCTGTCTGTCTGTCTGTCTCTGTGACAAAGGGCCCTGGCTTCTGTAGGACACCCGCGCCATCCAGAGCAGAGGCAATAAGAACTGGCCAGGTTGTCAGTGCACTGTTATGGGTCCCAATCGGTACTTGCTCTCCCAGACTTTAAATCCATCTTCCCTTCCTGACTGCCTGTCCTGCGGACTTCAAGCTTCAGCATCAGACAGACAACAGCACCTTATGGAGACTGCCTACCCAGCTCCCACAGCGCGTAAGGTCAAATTCCTGTAACAAACTCCTTAATGCGTAAGTATGTTTCTTCAGTGGAATCTTGCCTGATAAACCCCTCCAGACCAATTATGTCAGGAGTTCAGAAGTGAGGCCCAGAGGTTAAGAGCTCCCCAGGTGCTTCCAACAGGGTAAGCACCACCTCCCTGGGAGAGGAAAGCCTCCATATCCTATTGCAAATGTGCACACTTGCCTCCACCGCTGCCATTGCCCACCGCCCCACCACCTAGAATTGAGAAAGATTTAAAATCCTGTTCTGCCCCACCTACCAGTTTTCTCTGATTTACTCTGTTTCCTTTTGCACAAAGACAGCCCTGACCCACCTGACAGATCACTGCTATCTACTTGTCTCTAGTCTTTCCCTCCTGCATTTCACCCCACTCACCACCCCCAACTGCTCTGGGCAAGTACTCATAACAGCCCCGCTTGTTCAAAGGCTTTCAGCAACTCCCATCCCTGGAAAAATCAAGTCTTCTCTCCTTACCTGGTACTCAAAGCTCTCCAGACTCTGGTTTCTTCCCCTCTGGCCAACCTACCCTTCCTTGGGCTGGTGGAGGTTCTCCATATCGCCCCCAAGTCTCTCTTGTTGTCCACCCTAACTGGAGAGGGAATTCTGGGAAATGTTGAGTGCTTTGAGAACCTCCACCAGCCCAAGGAAGAATAAAGCAGTGGTCACACAGAGAAAGACAAAGGGCCTCCTCTGGCCTCCTTGGTTCTGCCTAAGAGGCAAGGCCACCAGCCAGGCAGTATCGGATACACACCCTACCCCTCTAGCCTCTGCCTCCCTCCCCTTCCTTCTCACCCCTACTTAGACTAAGGGTGATATATATCCATTGCAGTTCTCATTGTAGTAGAGGCAGAAAGAAAGTAATGCATACATTCTTCTGTAGAGGTGCCCGTGACACTGTAATAAGCAATGGCTGACCCCTTTTTTTTATGTCCCATCAATACTGCTGCAGCTATGATCCTACACCCACAAGCCCAAGGAGAAAGACAGTATTTAGTTGATTCTCCACCACAAAAACACGGCCTAAACCAAAGGGGATCTTCACACTCCTCTCCAGCATAGAAATTTCAAAGCCTGTAATGCCCGCTTGTATGATGGAGTGCTCTACAGTAGCATCTAAACTGCCTTTACAATTTCCTTGCTGAATGCAGAAAATTTCCTTACCCCAGGCATCTCCTGCTTGCATCTCAGAAAGCCAGTGTTACACAGCTTACACAGTTAGGATATTTGCCCTTGAAGCTGTCTTTCTTCAAACACCAAGCAGTTGAGAAAATGGTACTGAAGCACTGAATGTGGACCAGCACCAATGCCTTTTCTATGGTTCTCACTATTGTATAATATTCATATGTGCACAGTAGGTATTTGGCACCTTCCAAGGCCTATATCTGAGTGTTTTAATTGTTTCCTTTACCTTTCTGTTACCCATTCGTGTGCTAAAATTTGTACTGGAACTGTTGTCTAGATTTCTCCACAAATGTACTCACCCATATTTCTCTGCAAGTCCTCTGGCTTCCTCCTCCTTCACTACTCTCTGGTCCTCCAGGTCACTCTTATTTCCACATAACACTATATCTGGGTTTTCACAATATGCATGCATTTGTAGCTGGCCTATTAATATAAGATGAGAAAATTTATTTGTAGGTAAATAATGTGAGTGTGCAATCAATAGAGAATACAATAAACATGTTTTGAAAACTATAAATGGGTATATGGATATATGAAACTGATATGATACTTTCAAAGCATCAATAACCTAATCCATAAAACTGAATAGATGGGACAGAGACTAAAACTACTCCTGTCCTTCAGCACATACTCAAGCTAATTTAGATCAGACAAGAATGGGGGGAATTCGCCAGTCTTTTTTGCCTAGTAAGTTTTAGGAAAAGCAGAATATTATTTTTAGAGAAGAAAAACCCCCATTCAATTAACTTTTACTAAGCAGTTGCTGGATGCTAGACTTGTGCTAGGCCCCTTGACATGTATTATCTCACATATGCATACCTGATACATGGCTGGCTTTCTGATCAAGGCCATTTGAAAAAATGCTCGGAGAATTTCCTAGTCCTTATTGCTAATCTTAAAGATGTTTTTCATATATTTTCTCTCCATAGCAATGAGATTTTTAAAAGAATTGCCTGTCTGTAAATTAGCCTGTTTCTATCTGAAATTGTTTTTCACAGTTTTCTGTTACCCAAAGTCAGGATCAATTCATTTCAAACAAACAGGGTATAGGATTCAATAAGAGTGAAAAGCCACAATAAATAGTAAACAATTCTGTCACCAAAACCAGGCAGCAGGAGACTACAACTCTTACTCAACAGCTTTTCTTTCTTTTCATCTGAAAACCTATAAGTAGGCAACCAAACAAAAGAACTTCACTAAACACAACAGTTTTATCTCCCAAAGAGAGAAAATAAAAACTCTTATTTCTTCCTTATCACACCCCATGATGAAACGGAGGCAGCCCAGACTTTCACAGTAAGACATCCCCTTTAGTTTATGGCCTAATTTGTTTTTTATCATGGTTAACCAGAAAAGTGTTGACATGTTAGTTCCTCATTATAAAGTCATGTTCATTATATCTTAACAAGAGAAAGTAAAGTCATCCAGCATTTCCTGACCATTAATGTAGGCCTGATATTTGGTGGAGAATTTCAGGACACTGACCTTTGCCCTCAAAGGACAATCAGGGAAACAAGACCTATATAGGTAAGACCAAACTGTGTATGCTTCCAGTAACCGCCATGCCCCTTCTTCCCTCCAGGCTCTTACACATGCTGCCCCCACTCCCCTGAACACCCAACCACAGCCTTCCTTCAAGGAATCCCCATCCCTCCTTTAAGACTTGCCTTTCAGTTACTTCTACTGGGAAGCCTCTCTGGTCTCCAGAGTATCACTATGCCCTGTTAACACTTTATAAATGCCCAGTGTCACCATTATGAGTGTGAACTCAGGACCCAGTATGTCCAGGTTGAATCCTGGCTGGCTCTGCTGTTTACTGGCTGTGTGACCTTGAGGAAATTATTTGACTCCTCTGTGCCTCAGTTTTCCCATCCGTAAATGGTGGTAATGATGGTATTTACTTCATAGGGTCAAGGTAAGGATCAAGTGAGTTAATTCAGGGATTCTTCAGGTAAGGTCCATGGGCCAGCAGCCTTACCATCACCTGGGAACTTGTTAGAAATGCGATCCTCAGGCCCCACCCCAGGTGTACTGAATCAGGAACGCTGGGTCTGGGGCCCAGAATCTGTGTTTTAACAAGCCCTCTAGGTGATCCAGGTGCACACTCACACTTGACATCCACTAAGCTAATAATATTAAAGCATCAGGAATGCTATATAAGTATTGCCAATAATAATGCTAAACAGTGTTTATTTTGGGGCATCTGGGAAGTGTGATTATGGTGACTTTTCTTTTCATTTCTTTTTTCCTAATTTTTCTACAATATGGAAATAATAAATCAATTATTTTAAAAAATCTCACCAAGGAAAAAATCACATACATAAGTAACTGCACCTCAAGGTGGTATGTGCTAAGGATGCTGTAAGTAGTACAAAACATAACAGGAGTGAGGAGCAGGGAAAAATTTAATCCAACTAAAGTTATCACAGATTTCATGGGAGCCGTATTTTGTCAGATTTTAAAAAGTGCTTTCCATGGAATCTCTTCATCAGTTTTTTCCACGGAGGGGATTATAACCACTTTTTAAAAATGGGTATGGACATGGGACAGCCTTTTCAGACAGTGGGAACAACAGGAATAAAAATATAAAGGCCAAAACATGTAAAATATATACCTGTGGGGCTCTTGTACCATTTATACAAGGCTACAAAGGAAAGGATTAGACATTTGGGCTATGTTAAAGCTTCCTTATAAAATATGCTGCCACTAGAGGAATGCCTCTGGGCATGACCTGCTCATCGTCTGAGCTCCCGAGGAAGACCGGTGAGTGGCCACAATACCCAATTCCTTTCAGATTTCAAACTTAGGCTGGGAGGACTCAGCTCTCTGGTCAGGTCCCTAAACTCCCTGAGTCTCACCATTGGCCTCCTAGTTTCCACCCAAGAGGACATGGAAAGATTTGGAGTCAAGAGAGACAGGACTGCGGCGCAGCTTCAGAGAAACAAAGGGAGGGTGCAGACCCGCTCTCCTCTGCACGGGCCAGTCAGGGCCCAGGAGTCAGCTGCTCGTGTAACCCAACAGCGCCTGTGTTCCGGCATGCACCGTACATAGGTTTAAAACTATTTTATTAAAAAAAAAGAAAAAGAAAAAAATGAATGATCCCCGTGATACTCAAAACGCTGACATAGAAGAAACATAAAATGCATGATCAACAAATTTTGATTCCTAGTGAACATTTGATATTAACATCTCTGACATTGAGCATTCTATCTTTTTTTACAAAAAAGGGTTGGAGGGAGAATACTTCCCATTGAAGATATGAAATCTTCAGTATATCCAAGTTATTTTACTGAACTGAGCAATAAGGATTCTTGGATGTATAAGGAAAACAAAATTTTTTAAAAATACACATAATTTCACATAATTTTGTTCTTTACCTAACTGGCTATAAAGCCCAGAGGGGCCAGACTCATCAGTCTCAGAGTTTCTATTTCTACCTGTGAAAAATAGGTGGGTTGATCATCTTTCAATGCTAAGACTCTATGAGCACATCTCTAATAATGATCCTTATGAAGTGCTTGACTTAAGAAACATCCAGTAATTTTTAAACAATCTGCATTTTTAAGTAAGTGTTTTCTTATGGATGTTAAAGAGTTAGACATTAAGAATTTAAAATCACCAATATCGCCAGGAGACTCTCTGCATTTATACTAATACAACCAACAGAGGAAAATGTGCATTTGCAAGTTAGTCTTTGGTCAAGCAGCTGGATTTTAAATGGCTACTAACCAATCATTCAAGAGAAAAGGATCTCTGCAAAGCGCCAAAGTGAAAGATTATATATACTATGCTGGGGACCCCTTTTGCCAATGCAGTTCTAGAGTTTTCCGTGATGGGATCCTCCTGGTAAATGCTCTGGCCCTGAAAGCAGAGAAGGGGCCTCTAAGTACAGCAGTGACACGGAGCCAGGGATATGATTCATGAAACCTGCAAAAGGTATTTCATCAGTATAATAGAGGTTTTACACCCTGGGATGGCACAAGGCTTGATAGCACACAACAGACAAGCCGCTACTTAGAGATTTAACTTCTCAAGCTTCCATTACTGTACCTATGCTGGAGACAAGAGTCCCCACCATGAAAAACACTGAAGAAATTCCATGGAAAGCACTGCCTTGTACCTGGAGCACAGGAACTGCTCCACAAATCAGTGAGCATTACTAGGAAAAGCAGAGTATTTCTGAATCTTTGCCCTCAAACTACAAGCCTTGCTCCTTTATACAGCATTTTAAACAGCACTAGGAGCTCCTCCAAAATAATTCACAACAGAAGCAGAATGTAGGGGGGCATTTTAATGTGGGGAGTGGGGAGCAGGAGGCAGGGAAACAGTAATACTTACTTATCCAGTTTCTGACATTGAGGAAACTTTCCTCATTTGTCAGATCAAAAAGCAGAAGAAACCCCATAGCATCTCTGAAGAATGCTGTTGTCAAGCTACGAAACCTAGGAACATAAAAGCAGATCCGTCACCCAAACCATGGCCCTGCTCTGAAAATAAAAAGATGCCAACAGTGCCACAGCCTCTTATAGTAATTGTCAATAACAAATTGGATGTTTAATAATGCACATCGAATAACTTCACATTATACATACCTGTTGTACCTCTTAGTTATGCAAGATTTAGTGAATTATGCTATTATAATACATACTTTTAATGGTATAAAAATAAGTACATAATCAGTGATATTGGGTACCTTATAAAATACAGTATATAGATACCTAGAGCAAGAAAGATGATTCAAAAACATTTGAAAATTTGAAAGCAATTCTGGACTTTATAAAAGGCCAAGAATCATCAAAAGTTACATTTGGAATTTTCTTTTAAAATAAAAGCAATCTGTGTATATTTAAATTTTTAAAAAATTAGATGATGATATTCCAAAAGTGTTTAAGACAGTTATTTATCACTTATATAAGTTTATGTGTTAATAGACCATGTGATTTGAAAACCCAGCCTGTTAGGCAAGGATGACAAGAACTAGCTTGTGATCCCTTAGTCTCAGCCAAGAATTTCTTGTACAGTTAAGAGTTAATTAGGCTGAAACCAATGCTGCTTGCTGTGTATGTTTTCCTTGTCCTGTGAAAGCTTGGCTCAACCTGACAGTACAATGCATTCCATGACCTTTTAATTTCAGAAATCTCCAATCCCTGGTAGCCATTTCTTTAGCTTTAAGGTGGGAGTACTCCTGACTTAGTCCCTATCTTTTCTTGGTGCTTTCTCTTCCAAGGCCTTATCCTACTATCTCCCATCTCTCTCCCTCCAAAGATCAGTTTCCTCTTACTTTTCCTATATACAAAGATTGCAACTGATAGGGGTAGGCTCCAGGGAAGAAAATACTGGTATGAATTGTCATCTCATCTGCTATTTTAAGTTTTCTCAAATATTTTAAATCAAGGTTTTTAAAAAACGAGGCTTTATCTATTAGAAACTAAAATAATTATAAATGAAATAATCTGATATTTGTAATTTACTTCAATATAATTTGGGGGCAGGGGGTGAGAAGGGGTAGATATATACATGAAATAAGATTGGCCACAACTGAATGACTGTTGAACAGGGAAATGAGTACATAAGCTTATTGTAGTATCCTCTCTACTCCTGTATAACTTGAAGTTTTCAAAAAGTGAAAAACAAAGTCCTTCAAGGAAACTGTGAGAGAAAATAGAAGCTGTAGCTAACTAAAAGCAACGTCATATCAAGATTTCATGTGCCTTATTTTGGTCAAGGAACTTCTGACCATATGAGTTAATTTCAATTAGATTTTCTACTAAGCTTCAACCATCAGGTAAGAATAATGCATGTAACTCTGCAGTTTTCTCTGTGGCTGAGTAAATAGCAAAAGTAAATGAAGAAAAGTGGTCAAGCCTTAAAAAAAAAGAAGAAAAAAAATTATCTAAGTAAAAGAGTCCATTTTGAAACAGATTTATTTTTCCTTTGACCTTGTATGAAATAAAGCCACCATTATCGCCTCAGACTGATACTTTTCCTGCTAATTTGGCAGCGTATCTTATCCACGTGTGAATCAACTAATCAGCTGGCCTTTTCCTGTTCAGGTAACTGTGAGCAGAGTGCAGCTGCTTTTCCCTTTCCTCCAGTGAGCAGCACATGACTGACGATCTCATACCTCTCTTGCCCTGCTGTGTCCCATAATTGCAGGTGGATTCTCTGGCCTCTGCCAATGGCTCCGTCTGGCCCATTGGCTCTGTACACCTAAAACAGTAAAATGAAAGAGAAAAAGAGAACTTCTGAGACCAGTGAACTCTTCTCACTTTCCTATTCAGCACAAATCCCCTAAGCATCTAACTTCTAAAGAAAACCCCATCTGGAATACAACCTTGCTTGTATTTTATTCCATATAATTTTCTTTGGATAATGCAATAATTTGTATAAAATATATATACATTGTATATTTTCATAAACATATTTGAAATTATAATACATTGTATAAAAATAATTACCTTTCTATGACTTTTCCTCATCTCACTTTTTAAAAATACTTATGAAATGATTTTATAGAAAGAACTTCTGAAAATCTCTTCCTCCATAAAAGTAATTAAAACATAGGCAAAAATTGTCAAAGATCAACTTTTTTCCAAATTTTGAAAATTATCAGAGGCTTGCAACATTCCAAGGAGCATTTATTCAAGAGAAACAGCTAAGTATCAGTAAAAACAGTAAGTTTTGTGTTGTTTCAAATTGCCCTGTTCTCTTCTTCTTCCTCTCCCCAGCAGCCTCGAAAACCAACAGAGGCACACCTATGGTAGCTATGAAAACCACCAGTGCAGCAGCACTGAAGGCAGTGGAGGCAGAACTTGTTTGGAGCTCCCCTAAAGTCTCAGCCCAGAAAACTGTCAGAAAGCTGCCTAAAACTCCATTCCAAGGCTTCATTTTTATTTTACATACTGAGAGTTTGCTCTATAAAAATAACCCTACGCTTTGAGCATGTGTTGAAAACAACCAGCAACAATTATTTGACATCACGGCTATCAAAGGCAACAGTACCAGTGGGGGCTAACAAAAATCTCACCAAAAAACTTAAGGAAAGAAAAAATAGAAATGAAATGTCTGTAGGGAGATTGGAAGAGTTCCAAAATATTCCGCGGAATTGACTAGGCCAGGCTCATGTGTAAGGGCTTACATATGCCCAGGAAAAACTTTAAAAAGCCCGAATCTCTCACATCTGGCTGACCTTGAGGTTCTCCTCAAGCAGGAAATTAAGGTTTAGGCAGAGTTGCAAACTGCCTGCCAAAGCATTACACACATGTCTGAACACACACACACACACACAGTCCCTTTGGAAAAGCTGAAAGACTTATTGATTCAGGGAATTTAAGAAACTCTATCCACTCATTAGCTGACCACTAAATTAACTAAGCAGAGACTTCAGTAGCTGACATAACAAAGAATACAGACAGACTTTGGCCCAGGAATGTCACTAAACAAAGAGCAACACAAACAACAACAAAATAAACAGAAAAACAAGAAACCCTCAGGATGAGGAAGGAATCTGATTTCCGAAGTTGCCACCTTATATTATTTTAAATGTCTAGTTTTCAACACAGTTAGAGACACACAAAGAAATAGGAAAACATGGCCCATTCACAGGGGAAAAGCAGCCAATAGAAACCATTCCAAAGGAAGCCCAGATGTTGAACCTACTAGACAAACACTTTAAGCCAGGAAATCATATTATAAGTATGTTCAAAGAACTAAAGGAAATCATGCCTAAAGAATTAAAGGAAAATATGAGAATAATGCCTCACTGAATAGAGAAGTTAATCTCTGGATCATAGACCCACAAGTAAGAGCTAAAACTGTTTGCATATCATATATCTAATAAGAACATTTCTCTAGAATATATTTAAAACTCTTAAAATTTAACTAAAAGAAAACTAATTTCAAAATAGCAAAATTTCTGAATAGATATTTCTCCAAAAACAATATATAAATAATATACAAATATTCAATAAGCACTGAAAAGATGATCGCTCAACAGCATTCATCATTAGGGACATTCAAATCAAACCTCTAAGAGGTACCACTTCACACACTAGAATGGCTGTAATCAGATAGATAATAACAAGAGGTGAAGATATGGAAAAACTGGAACCCTGACACATTGCTGGTAACAATACAAAGTGGTGCAGCATCTTTGGAAAATTGTGGAAGTTCCCCAAAATTAAATAGAGGATTTTCCTATGGCCAATCAAGTCTATTCCTAGGCATATAACCAATAGATTTGAAAACATAAATCCACATGAAAAAAAAATGTACATGAATGTCAAGAGAACCATTATTCATAATAACTAAAAAGTAAAACAATCCAAATACCCACCAATAGATGAATGGATAAACAAGATGTGGTATATCAATACCATGGAATATTATTTGGTCATAAAAATAACAAAGTATTGGTACATGCTACAATATGGATGAACCTTGAAAATATTCTACTAAGTGAAAGAAGCCAGACACAAAAGGCCACATATTGAATGATTCCCCTTACGTGCTAGGTTCCAAATAGGCAAACCCACAGAGTATATAGGGGTTGGGGGTGGGGAAATGGGGAATGACTGCTAAAGGGCATGAGATTTCTGTTTGGGGTGCTGAAATGTTCTAGAATTAGATAGTGGTGATGGTTGCACAACTGGGAACATGATAAAAACCACTGAATTGTACACTTTAAATGGGTGAATTTTATGTTATGTGAATTATATTTTAATAAAGCAATTTTTTAAAGACAAGATTATACAATGAGAATTAATTAATAAATGTAATCACCTACACATACAGTTGACCCTTGAACAACATGGGATCTTTTCAATAAATATATTGGATGAATTTTCAGAGATTTTTGGCAATTTGAAAAAAATTTCTTTTCTATAGCTTACTTTGTAAGAAGACATTATATAATACATTTAACATACAAAATATGTGTTAATTGAGTGTTTACGTTATCAGTCAGACTTCTAGTCAACAGTAGCTATTAGTAGTTATGTTTTGGGGAAGGCTAAAGTTATATGCAAATTTTTTACTTTGCAGAGGGTTGGCACCCCAACCCCCAAGTTGTTCAATGGCCAAATGTATATTGAGTGTACCAACATGTCAATACTAAAAATTCCACTAAGATCCTATTCTTACTCAGTAGGTCTTAGTCTCTATAAGACTGGTAGTGGGACAAAAGACCTAGAGTGGGTGGGAGGGAATGGAATGCATTCTTCTGTCTGGGAAGCCAGAGACCCTTTACCTTTCGCAGGTAGAATATGCTCCATGGAAGGGTCTTTGTCAATAATCTCTTGACCACTTGTTGACCTGCTCCATGGAAATAGCTGATTTTTCAAAAAGAAATCTTATTCCTGGAGAAGGCCATCTTCTCACCTCTGCAACTCTGACACAATGACCCCCTGTCTTCCCCTCTACCAACAGAATAACAGTAAGTCTTGTGGTCCTTTAAAAAAAGAAGAAAGAATGCCTCTTCTCTACCATTCTGCAGAACCTGCCTGTTCCCTTGGCTACTTCCCAGATCAACATGCACTACCAGCAACCTCATTCCTACTCCAACCTCACCCTCCTGGCAGCACTGAAGGTGCTGGCACTTGGTGCTCATGTGAGATTGCGGAGGTCTTAATCAAGAGAAAGGGCATTAAAAATGTTATCAATGGAAGAAGTAGCCCAAAAAACAGTTGTATGAGGGGCAGGCTGGTTTTGTAGTCTTCATAACAAAGGTAGACAAATAACTTCTGTGGAATTCAGACGGAAGATACAAGCCAAAAGAATATCAAGGGAGAATTTAAAAGAATCTTTGCTTTTACTTGGTCTGCTTGGTTTTCTATGAAGTGTCCTTCAGCACAGCCTTTTAAATCTTATTGCCCAGATGAACGTAATACATTTTCATATGTACGTGTACACTTTAACTCTAGGTTCCAACCTTTGTCCTCCTAATTCCTACAAAGTAAACCAAACAGACAGGCAAATGTTGACTCAGAGATTACATTTTTATAGAGAAGGATATACAGAACTCACCACTCTCTTTTCCCTGAAATCAATGCCCACCGTTGTGATAAATTTGGAGTTGAATTTACCATCTGTGTACTGGTAAAGCACACTGGTCTTCCCTACTCCAGAGTCTCCCAAAGCTAAAAACTTGATGAGGTAATCATAGTCTCCATCAGACATAATGAAGAACTCAGTAGTTCACCTGCAAAATACAAATACATATTTACTAACAGTCCATCAGAAAATATTAGAATCTCCATGAAGGAAATGACTTACTTTACTATCCCATTAAAATCCTCTCTGAATACCCGCTATTCACTGTCCTCAAGGACCTGGTAATTTGTTAGATGAGATGCTACTGAAATAGTAAATAATTGGCAGTTTAGTTTAAATTTCACATGCATATTATAGTAATGTTAAAACAAAAATTCCCGTAATGATAATCAAGAAGATAATGGTCACTAAGTCTTACGCGCAGATCTTACAGAACAAAAATTAACAAGAGGAGGAAGGAGAATGTTATAGGAATAATAATACTTAACATGCCAGTGGTTCTAATTCTCCCTCCTTTTTCAGTCTCCTAGTGCCAAATCCTTGGCTTTTCTCTCTTTTCACTTAGACATGTAAGCAATTTCATAATTTATCCTATTCATTTTCAGAGTTCATTCAAATATAAGGCTGTGTTTACAAATAAAATTTGGCTTGCAGCTTCCTTGAATATTATAATTAGTATATACAACATATTAAACCAGACTTATCTGGAATATCACTGCTCCCTGGGAAACTGAGTTCCAAATTTGAGCAGTCACTGCTCAGAAACATAGCTCCACAATAAAGGGCTCATTCACCTATACTTGCCTTGATATTCTAACAGGAAATGCTACCAATTCAGCACTTCAATATGGACTAAAACAAAAATCCACCTTAGGGAAGAAAAATTCTTGTTTTTATACCAGCAAGACCTAACCACAGTTACTTTTTATCCTTTGCAATCAGCACTTTTCATTATTTGTTTTTATCCTCTAAATAGATTCAAGCTATTCAAAACATCAGTCCAACTGACAATGGAGTCTGTCTTTAGGGAAGGCTTACTTCTTTTTATCCTTCCATTTCTTAGACCAATAAATCCTTCTGAAAACCAGAAAAAGAATCAGCTATCCCTTACCAGTGACAACTCTACCTGCCCATTCAAACACACTCATTCACCACTGTACCCACACCAGATGCCCTACAGGAGAGAGCCCTGATTTTCCACTCTTTGTGCCCTTTTCACCCAACCCCACATCCCAAAACTTCACCATAATTCCCGATGTTTCCTATAGATCCATAAAATTATTAAAAGCTCAGGCAAGGACATTTATTGATTTTCAAGGTTGCCATCCTCAATTAGATGACTCACCTTATGCTCAAAAATCCTAAATGCTGAGCCCCAGGGCTGCTGCAGTATGTTTCCACAGAGTGCCTGAATGCAGATCTGTGACCTGACACCCAGATATGGCTAGTCAGTGGATAAGGGCAGAGCCTCTACAAATATTCATAATTCTGTTTGTACTCTATAAAGAGTGACACTTTACAGGTGATGGCTTTCCTGTGTTATAGCTTCTGTATACACAGGTATAGGTTGTTTACCAATATTAATGGCATATAACAAAGTTCCTCTCCAGAAGATGACCACTTGGGTACAAATAAATATTCTATCATGTCACTTCATGGCATCTCAGTTGGATCCAAGTTTCTCAGAAATAAGGGCTAAAAATTGAAAAGCAGACCCAGATAACATTTAATCATTTTGGAGGTTCCCCTCAAAATTAATAAGGAAACAGAAAGCAACTCCAAAACCAACAGTGAGGATTATGCAAGAAGACACTGTGGCCACCTGATGTTCTCTTTACCAGAAAGCTGGGCACTTCTGTTTTTACGTCATTTAAGGTGCAGAAGAAAATGCTGTCACCAGTGGTATCACTATCCAGAATCCTCTACACCCACTTGCATGAACTCAAAGACAGCTGAAACTACTTCTGCTGCACCAGAATTTAATGTGTTTAGTTATCATGGGAGAAGAATCACACATATAAGTCAACAAATGACCTTTGTGTGTTTTGTTTTCTATTCATGTTGATAGCAATACATAAGTCTCCTCCTAAAGATATCATAAAGGAAGTGTTAACAAACCAAAAACCACCACTGAAGGTTTAGATACAGCCATCAATATTCGTCATAGTTTTCACCCTTCAGACTGCACCTTTAGACAATTATCTGCCTTGGTAATCTAAAAATAGTGCTTAGACCTTTCATTCTCTGGGTACAGTTTTCTAAAGGTTGTAACAGAACCCAGAGAGGTTAACACATGTGCACAGCCTAGAATATAGGTCTCCTCTAACTCCAAATCCAACGTCCATTCTCCCCAAGCTTTGTGTCTGTTACTTAAGTTTTTATGAATGCATGTTGGGCTTTGAAGTGATCAGGTGTGATATTGTACAAAGTAGCCTAACAGGAAACACAGACCTCTAAACTCAAGCACGGCTGACTTGAATCTCATGTCTCCCACATACCAGCTACTCAGAAGTCTTTGAGCCTTGGGTTTTCAGGTTTCCATTCAATGAAAAGGAGATAATATAAACTACTTCACACCAATGTTCAACGACTGAATGACATACTCTTTGTGGAGTGCCCAGCCCAATGCTTGGCATATACTGGGTACTTCAGTAAATGGTAACTCACTCCCTTCTCCCCATTCTGAACAAATTAGACTGGCTCTGAAGACCTAGAACAATTTCTGACATTGCCCCTGCGAAGCTCAAAGCATATATGGCCAGCGTGAAAAGTTGCTGACGGGCTCACAAGAGTTTGCTGAATCAACAAAGAAAATTTCGAACTAATTCTGGTTCAAACCATTTTAAGTTCATTCTAAATACATCTATCAATTTCAAGAGAGTTATGACTAGCTGAAAAACAGTTTCAGATTCATATAAAATACTCCAATCCATTCTAACATATTCTTACTTGTTCAAAAGAATTTGAACGGTTCATATCAGTTCAGAGTCAGTGTTGCGTTAAAAGAGATTATACCTACAAAACCATTTCTGACTGATCTTAAACCACTTTGCCTAAAACCAGATGTATCTAACCAAAATTATTATGGTCTGGTTTTATTGGTCAAATTGTTTCAGACTGGTTTTAGCTAGCTCAAATAAGTTCTGACCTGGACAAGCACGTTCTGACCAGCCCACATAAGGTTTGATCGGCTCAGAGTACATTTTACTACATCAGGCTAGTGCTGATCAATTAAACACCTGCCTCCAGCTGGGTTACACCTGCTCTAATGTTACCAAACTGCTTGTAATTAGTTCAAGTCATCTGTAAAACGGTTTTTATAGGCATAGATTGTTAAAACTAGTTCAAAACAGTCCAAATTGACTGATCAGACACTCAAATAGTTCAAGACTAGAAATATAAAATGCTGATGAAAATCGCCAAAAACAATGGTCTGGTGCCTCAAACTTGCACTGAACCAACAAACTTAAATTTTCACCTCAATTGTAGACAGTCTGTACCCAAAAAATTAATCTCTACCATAGTATAGTGTTTTTCTACACTTAAACAGCTTGTATGCAGTCAGTACATATGGAGTACAGTAAGCAGTTTGGGGGAAAGGAGTATAGGCAGAGGGGAATGCAATGAGCAATAAGGGGAGGCGTGATGAGAGACACAGGTCAAGAACTCACCTCCCATTTTATGTCAAAGACCTGGCAGCAAAACATTAATCCATGATCCAACAGTAAAATACAGAATGTAGTTGAGAAAAACCTTTAGCAAATATGGAGGCTATGTGGAAACTGTGTAGAGTTTGTCCTGAATTGGGCACAATGACCAGGCTGGCTTGGGTTAACAGATGCAAGAATTCTGAAGAATAAGGAAGCTACAAAGAAATAAAAGGATTCAGGGGGCAGGCAAGTCTTCAAATTGATAACATGTTTTTTGGGGTTTGGGCAGAGTATTGATGGTGACAGTCTCCTTGTCTGAGCTTGCAGTCGGCTAGTCAAAGCATAGAGTTAAGGGAACCATTCCATCTTCTGCAGAAAATAAATCTAGTCCACAGAAAACTCCAATTCCAAACACATTCTACAGTCGTGTACATGGGACCCACCACTGCTTATCACCATAAGGTGAAGACAGTGCTAAGTTTCAAGTGCTCATAGGTATTCATATAGAGCCATCCTCATATTAAATTTACCTTCATATCTTTATAATATTCATATTAAAAAGTACTTATGTTTTTTATTTTCATTACTTATTTTCATTACACCTGAGTGGTGTTTCTGGGGCCTGGTGTCTGGAAAGAAAACACTTCACTCCCCAAGTATCGAAATAACAAATTTTTTTCATGTTGGCATTTTTCAGCAGAAAGGGAAAGAGTGTAAATACACAATGCAGGATTTGATGGTTAGGGCAGCCAAACAACACTTTAAACATATTTCCAGTAAGAACTAACAGCCTCTTGATGCTTGGGAAGCCAGTCCACTAAGGCTTCCCAACTGTATTACTCTTGTGAAAAATGGATCAGAAGCCTAGGTCAGCTGACCACATGTCAAGCACTTCATACACATCCGTGCAACAGTCCTCACTCATCACTGCTCTAAAGGGAGGTGGTGCAGATGCCACACACACACTTCCTCCCTCAGAAGGACCTCAGCACCATTCTATCACGGATGCCACAATGACAGGATGACTAAGCGGGTCTTGAGCAATCTATCCACATGTTAACATGGGCTGAATTCCAGCATGTTGTTGAGAGACAGAAAAAAAGTGGAGGTTAAGAGCCTGGACTCCAGAACCAAACCACCTGGATATGAATCCAGGTACATAACTTCAGAAAATTTAACCTCTTTTGCCTTGGGTTTCCCATCTTAAACATGGGAATGATATCCTATATTGTTAATCCTATCACACACATGCTCTCTTCTATTAACTTACTTATAACCGGGGTATGTCTTACATTTCACAGTCTTAAGACCCATGATATCTTGCAATTGTTACTACATGAGATGTCACTGGAGATAGAGTTATGTGAAAACATTTTATTAGCATCTTCTAGCAAGAGCAACAGTGTGCCATCACCGTATTTTAGATTTGATGAAGCACACAATAAACCTACTCAGAGGGCTGTTGTGAGGATGGCGCTAGTATGTAAAGTTTTACAAC